CCCCAAAACCCCAAAACCCCAAAACCCCAAAACCCCAAAACCCCTTTTGAACTACTCTCGATTGAATTCGCCAATAATTAATTAATGGCTATTCTGTAGATTGCTCCAATAACAATTTGAGCTCATTCATTTATGACCAGAACAAAGGATCCCCGGCTGAAACATGGATTTTGGCGAAAAATATATTGGTAGCTCCATTAAATAGAGATTTTATTCAGAAGCTAAGCTCTGAATTGGTTGAAATAGACCTTCTCCTTAGGTGTTAGATTATTTAGCAATTCTGGCAATTGTAGCAGCTTAAGAAGAATTCTTCTAAAGCTAATGCTGGTGGCAACACGATGTTCTAACTTCTTTTTAAAAGACTCCTCTATTGTCTCAAACTTAGATAGCAATGAGCTTCTCTCTTCTTGAGACATAAAGGGGGCTTTGTTTATTTGTGCTTTTATCCTTTCTCTGTGCTTCTTCCTTATAGATATGGCAATGAAAGTGTATAAGGAATCTTTATCCTCATTTACGATATTCTGTCCTACTTCTTGGTCATTTAGAATAAATGGCAAGAAGAATTTTTCATGAACATGTTCGTAGTCTTCATAGACTTCCTTGTTAAAAGTTTTTGTGACCTTTCCAAGTACTGAATTCTCTTCGTAGATCCGGCATGCAACTTTCTCCACTCTTTTGTAGAGTGATTTGGTCTTGGTATCCTTCGAGCTACTGAGGCTAAATTTTGTTCCTTCTTCGATCATTAACTTGGGGATCTTCTCTGAAGAATTATCCTTTTCTTCTTCATTTGAGGGTTTTAGGTGACTATCTACCTCCTCAGGTAAGCATTCCAATGAGTCATTACAATTGTCTACATCCAAGCAAGGGGGATCACTAAACTTATTCTCCTTGAGCTCCTCGTCTAGATGTTTGAGAAAATCCTCCTTAATGTCGCTTCCAGAAGTTGGATCAATTGTGCCAAAGGCCATATCCTCAGAACTATGGTAGTCACTTCCATTCCCTTGGCTTAGCAATGAGAGCTCCAAATCATTGGTGTCATTGAAGAAATCTTCATCAAAAGTATCGACTTGTATGTTCTGGTCCCAAAGTTTGTTTTGAAAAGAGCCTTCCTTGGACATAATGTAATTAATATCTTGATATTTTTCTGAAAACATTAAAATTATTATATAATGTTAAAAGATTTTCATTTAAATTTGGAGATAGAGGGGTTTTGGGGTTTTGGGGTTTTGGGGTTTTGGGGTTTTGGGGTTTTGGGG